TTTTTTGACCTTCACTTATATTTTATTTAATAATCTTGAATAGTGATATGTGAAGAACAGAATTCAACAGTACAAAAACATTGCTCTCTGACCTATACTCATACCAAAAGAAATTTATCATAAATCACAGAATTTATGACTAGAAATGCACAGTGATCATTAAATTTAATGTAGAACATAAGGCACATTGATCTTCCAAAGAGATATTAGTCTTATCACAATCTAGTAAAACCTACGGAACATATGTTCTTTTGAATATTCTCTGCCTGTTTCTTTCAAGATAATAAACTTCATTTTAAAAAGATTTAAAGGACATACAGATACGCTTACATAATATAAAGAATTTTGGTCAGAATCAGATAAGCTTTGAAAGTAACTGAGAAAAGCCACAAAGATAACACAAAATGCAAGCTCTCCAGTGAAGACTCAAAGAAAAATGCTCAGTCTAAGATCTGAGTAGGGTGATGGAGGATTACAGGAGATAAATGGAATACACTATTCTCCCAGGCTGAATAGACACTGGGTCTTTTGGATGAATTGTACTATTGTTCCAGAAAAAGTATCTGAAGACACTGGAGGTATATAGTCAATTCATTTGTTTAATTGCAGAGTTTATGGGGTGATGATTTTCTTTATGATCTCATTTCCTCCCTACCAACAAGAAGTTTAAAAGCTAAAGCCCTTGTAACCATTTTGTGTGAGGAAGAGGGTTTGCATTCACAAAACTGGTCTATATTTTCTGCAAGAATAAAATACATAGATATCAGTGACTATCATTATTACTGTCACTCAAAATGGACAATAATAGCACCTCCATGAATGGGTGTTTACCTCTGGGCAATAATTTTGGCAATATTTATCAAATTCTTTTAAACTGTTTTCTCCTTTGATTCTACTTTGGGAAATACATTGTGAGAACATAATGTATACCCCAAGATATACATCATCTAAAATTTCTACTTACAGCATATGATGAATGATCCTTAACTCAAAAAGAGGAGGCACAGACTAGAGGTGAGGGGTGTGGCCCCTACTGTTGGAGAGCCTGGCTCAAAATGTCGTTCCACTTGTCACTTAGTGATGCTGAGTAAGTTACTTCAATTCTGTGCCTCTACTTACCTAGGAGATGGAGCTTGGGGTACAGTAGTATCTATATTACTTGAATGAGGTAATAAGTGTAAATCACTTCTACTAGTGAATTTAATAAAGATTTGCCATTACCAGTTATGTGCTCATAATGGGACTATTATAATAGGAAAAAAATGGGAAAAGCCCATTTGGGGGAAAATGCTCTATCAAAGGAAATTGGTTGTGTGAGCTCTGGTACAGCCACGAAGGCAGAGACATTGAATTTTATCACAATACTCTCAGTGTCTAACACAGAAGGTAATTTATACAAGGGTTCTTGCAGTCTGGATTTCATTATGAAATATGCAAGATACATAGGGTCACATTTTGACATCGCTGAAGTGAAGATAACAAATTAGAGAAAAATAGACTCTTCCATTAGAATCATAAAGCTGTGTCACAGTTTTATTGGTAGTGTGTATTGCATCTTACATTTGGTGCGGTCTGTGGCTGACACAGTAAATGGTCCCCAGAAGTGTTCACGTCCTAATCTCCGAAGCCGGCCAATGTTCTGTCCCATGGTAAAAGGCATTCTGTAGACTACATGATGGGGTGATTATCCTGGTATTCTGGTGGGTCCAGTGTAGCCACAAGGGGCCTCACAAGCAGGCAGAAGGGTCAAGTTAGGAGAAGATATAATGCTAGAAACGAGTTTGGGCTGGTCTGAGGGGAGACCACAAGCCAAGGAATGTGCATACCTCTGGAAGCTAAAACTGGTAAGGAAATGATTCTTCCCTGAGCTCCAGAATCAACCAGCTTTGCTAATACCTTGACTGAGTTGAGACTGATTTTGGACTCCTAAAGCTTCAGATCTGTAAGATAATGTTTGTGTTCTTTTAAACTACTAGGTTTGTGGCAGTGTGTTATAGCAGTAATAGGAAACTAATACATAATCTTAAATTAGGTGGAAAAAGTTGTTTTTGACTTCTAGCATGTTAAGCCCTTTCATGTTCAGAATTTCCACTTATCACCATCAATATAAACTACTGAATAAATGGTGAATAGAATAGTATATAGCTATTAAAATCTTGTTTACAAAAAGTTCATAATAGATACCACTTGACAAAAGAGAATATCAGTTCCTCCTGCAATGATATGAATTCATATCATTAAACCACAATGATTTTATTAAACTGGTAAACATCAAGATATGCATATACAAATTCTAGAAGAAAATTAATTAAAATATTAACAGTAATTGTTTCTGCATATTTGGAGTATATTAATTTTCTGCTTTGTCCTACACTTTCTATAGAGAGGTATCATTTTCATAGTGGAAAACCACATTAATTTCATTTAAAAACTAGACTGCAGAATAACATGAAAAATAAAAGGCAATGTGGACAATTTTTGGTATACTCAATCTCTTATGTACCAACAATTTTAATCTAATTAATAATTTAAGATCTTCAAAAGCATAAGTCTGGCATAAATCTAAGCTATGTGGTCATTCGTAGATATGTGCTTTGATTCTGAAATATTCATTAGCTTTAATATTGGTAAGGTGGTGATTATCACCTTCCAAAACACAGGCTGTTGAGGCCCTGAAAGTTGTGTGGCCCCAGCGGGGTGTCCTGAAGGTAGTGATTTAAGTGGATTTCAGGAGTTGACTCAACGGGAAGGAAAAAAGGCAGAGAGCAGATAAGAGTAGCAAATATACAGAGTGATTCTGCCTCATTCCAGGGTGGGAAGGTGGGAGTTACTGCTGTAAGGATTGGGTGACATGAATAAGTCCTTCCCCCATTCTGAGTCATTAGGGTATAGGCCTAGTACCTCTATGATTCATCCTAGCTCTAACATTCTATAAATACAGGGGTACACACACAAGCGTACTCCGTGCACACGCGGACATTTAGGCTCTGATTACTAAGCAATAAGAAAGATCCAAAAGGGCAAATGCATGAGATAAAGTAGCATTATTTTGAAGTCTCATTTTGTGCACACACAGAGATGGCTTTTACTAAAGGACTAGCTTTTGTTCGGTGCTTTGAACTGTGCAGTTTGCTGCTGATATTATCATCATCAGTTATACTTCACAGCGACTAAAAGATTTAAACACACGAGCCCTTAGAGCAGGGATAGCAGCCCAGTGTCTGGCTGAGGTCACTAAGACTTTCAGCTTGTCACTTGCCAGCCCTTTGAGGAATGTATTCATAACGGCGGGTAACATGTCCACTTTGTTCCATGAAAATACAGCCTGTTAACAGAAGTTAATAATGCAATGCCTGGCCATTTCTCAGTAACTGTGGTGTTAAAGGAAGATGTCCTTTCTGGAACATGGCTTCAAATGAAATTTTACTGCAAGTGTGAAGTGTCTTAGCTGGAATACTTATTACATTGGTTTTATAAAATATTGATAGAATACCTATTGTTTGAAGAAAACATAAATTGTTTAATCAAGATTTTTTAACTTAATGAGTCATGTATGGTGGGATTCATTACACACAGATTTACCTGTGATGCAAAATGGGAAGGTCAGCGTGAAAGAACAGTGTAAGTGTGTCACTTAGAGGTAAAAGCGAGGTGCCCGCTGTCCAGAGATGAAGACGGACTAGGGAAGCTTAGCGGGCACATGGTATTGAAGGCTACTGGGCTCTGGAATTCAACAACTGAGGTGCAAATGAGGGTGTTTTGGTGAAGGAAATAAAGTCAGCAGTGTCTTCAGGGCATGGAACATTCAGGGCACAGGTAGAACAGAGCTGAGAGTGAAATGACATAGTTTCTACTACAGTTTGGGGAGCAGTGGGATAAATATTGAAATGATACAAAAGATCTGGACTGCAAAGGCCTCAAGTGCGTTCATGAGGGCACTCACTTTATTCAAGAAAGCCAGACAGGACTTTAAAGCCATTATTTAATCAATTGCATTCACCAACCCCTGTTAAGAAGGCAAAGGTAATTGTAGTTCTATAATTTAAAAGGCATTAGAACTTCTTACTCGGCAAAGTAAATTCCAAGCAACCTTTCTGCACATTATACAGGAAATTAGAATGGAATGCTTATGTTTAAAACTCTGCAGGGATTTCCTTACTATTACCCTAGTATTAGTGGCATGATTTGGTGTGGGAAGAGGGGTGTCCCCATTAAGATGTCATACAGGGAACACAGGAGGCCCAACCTTTTGAGAGACAGAGGATGACTTGGTCATACTGACTGTATCCCGTGGTTTCTAGGCACCCCAATTCCAGCCCTCTAGATGTTTGGGCATAGCTCTGGCTCCTGTACACAGTCCCTGTCCCACACCTCTTTGGTCCTGGCACTGCTACTGAATCTACATTTTGTACATGAAATCAGAACACCAATTCAAGATAGTGCTTCTTTGTTGTGTATGTAATGTACGTGCATTCCTATAGCAATATAGTAATATACACACATGAGAAAAGCAAACAGCATCATCACCACCCTATTTTTACATCATTTTGTAGTGAAATCGTATTTTTCCTGCACCTTTTGTGAGTGTATTGAGAACAAGCCCACCATATTGTATCACGCACATGAATACTCAATTAGCATTTATTCATTAACTGGTGGAAGTCAAGTACTTCGGCCCCCAACATATGCTGAACTTCCTCCTGGGATTAGGAGAACAGCTGGTTAACATACTTGGTCTAACAGGACATAAGCGAGTGGTTTCTACTTTCCTTTAGATCTGTCAAAAGGATAGCTTGTTTCTTTAAAAGCTTCAGGGGCAGGGGGACTGAACCTGTCATATGAAAACAATCTGCCAATAGGCATGCACGAGGCCGCATGTGTGTGAGATCCTCAGCCTGAAACTGACAAAGCATGTGCTAAATATTAAATCCAGGTGATTCTCACAAGTGGACACAGCTCATGCACTGACGTGGACTTCAAGGGCTCTCCTAAGTACTCACCTCAATGAAGAAGATGCTGGCTGCTGACGTTGGATGGTGATACATGTAGACTGTCACCAGAATAGCTGCTGCTACAATGAGGATCAGGATAAGGATTCCAACAATGAGCCCAGCGTGGAGGGTCCCCCCTTTCTTCTCAGCTGCACTGTCATCTGTTGAGGCTGAAAGAACATTCCAGCTGTCAGGGCCTTTGTAGGTGAATTTTAAGCTTGAATTTTCACTTGGAGGGAAATTTATGTTTTTAGTAAAGTAATCTTGTTTTGTTTCACTTTTTGATCTGCTGTTCAACTTTTCTTGTCTGTGTTACCAATCTTAGAGGTTTTTTGAGCAATGGGAACTCTACATATTAATGAGGAAGAGCAAATTTACAATTGTGTTTTCATATCCAGTTCAGTAAAAAAAATTAATAGCCTTTATTCTAAAAGTACTCTGAGAAATCTCAGCCTCTAATTAACTGTACAATAAATTTAACTTTGATTCATACTCATTAAACTAACAAAGTTGCCTATAAAATTAATTACTTTTTTGCAAGCTCCTCTTTCATTTTCCTTTGGAAATTTTGCATTGAAGAGTATCAGGTGTCTTCTGGTGGGAGACAGAGACTCAGGCATTTTCAGAAAGTCTGCGTGTGAACTGAAATAATAACTTTCAAAATCTGCTTTAAAGCGAAGTGCTCTTTAAACATGGAACAGATGGATGCTAAATGACCCTCAAATAGTTTTATCATTATCTAAAGGGAAAACCAGACATATGAAAGAAAATATTCCACTATGCCACAGTCTGGTATCATTTTCTCTAACTTCTACTGAGATGCTACCCACTACAATGCACACTTGTAGAGCTAGGAAAGTAAGGAATTTAATTTCTAAAGTAATAACTACCCAACCCTAAGTCAATCAACCCAATAAAACTAATCTCCAAAGTCTTCTCTTGTTCTAAGATTCTGTAATCCTTGAGGACTGCTCAGGCATTTAGAGATCTTCTTAAATTAGGTGCAGCAGGTAACTGTATCTTAGTGCACTGTATGACTGGTATTTTTGAGTCATTAGATAATTCCTTAAGACTCAGGAATTTCAGACCAGTGGTTCCCAATCCTTTTATTAACAATTTACCCCTTTATTTGTTTTAGCCTTGCCTCTGTGTTAAGCACTTTTTGTCCATTAACCCTCATTTAATAAGTACAGATTTCTGTTATTTCCACCTTTCATTAATAAAAGCAAACGTGTTACCTATCAGAATACGAGATGCCCATGAATTCTAGACACAGCAAAGGAACAGGACCGTCACGCTCACACCCATCCTTTACATTTCTATGGCTGTTGTCTACCCTTTCCTTGAGACTCACTGCTGATATTCACTAGTTCTTCACTGGATTCAATGCTCAAAAAATGATCAATTTATTTAACAATAAATGGTTAAGTTTAATGAATTAAAAAAATAAATCTTACTCTCAACTTCCTAAAGTTTCCCCTTATATAACAGAAATTCACTAGTGAAATAAGATAAAATTTCAAGAGTATGTAATATATAAAAATTTGTTTACAATGTGCCTGGTATATTTGTATTGGTTTGCAAACAACAAATCCACAACAGGTGAGGTAGGCATTCTTACCAGACCTTTTAGATAATGAAACCAGGACAGTGGGAAATGAAACAATGTGCTAACTATTAATATGGGACTGGGCTCAACACAAGCAGGCTGGCCTCAGAGTCTGTATTCTGAACTTGTTATAAATGTTTCTTCAATATACAGTGAGTTGTAGGTACCATTTCATCTTATTTCATGCTATGGGTTCTAGCAAAGAATTCTGAAAAGGCCCTGGTAATTTCACATAATGGAAAATTAATTTTAAAAATGGTTAAAGAATTAGCATGGTGCCTGTCAGAGTCCTGCTGTGTCGCTTCTCTGGGAGAAGAGTTCAAACCAGTTTTTGGGAAATGGGGGGTTGGGTGGGTGGAGAAAGATAAAAAGAAAGAAAACTAAGGGCTGTTGAAATGGGTGATAGCTATCATAATTACCACTTCTTCAGTAAAAGTCAAATAAGACTATAATGAGTAACTTCATCTCTCTGGTTTTTAGTTATCTCTGCAGTGCGGTTGATAACAGTAATCACCCAACAGCTGCTGTGAGTACTCAACATTTAATACCTAAGAAGTCTAGGAGAGTACTTGGCATGTAAAAAGAACTAGTTAGTGCTGAGCTATCACATTACTATTAATATTTTCATAGAGGACAGATGACAGTAAATTACACTGTCGTGTTCATGATACTATACAAACTATGTCTTTGCCCTTCACATTCATGGTTTTAAAACACTGGCCTCATTTTTAAGTATGCTTCTATGACTGCATCTCGTGAACTTGGCTTATTTTTTATTTTTTACAAGAGCATGATACATTACTTTCACGGGAAGATAGGATTAATTTAAAATGTTGCTTGGGGGAAAATGTTACAAAAATATCTACTTGAGTAAATAGGGAAACCTTGACTGTTTCTTTGAATCTGAGGTAAAATTCATCCAGCCCTGCCACCATCCATTTTCCCAGTTATCCATCTTCTTTTTCTCTCCATCCATCTCTCTATCCATTTTTCTGTCCCACTTTTCATCCATCCCCCTGTCCATCCACCCATCCATCCATTCATCCATCCACCCATCCATCCATCCATTCATCCATCCACCCATCCATCCATCCATCCATTCATCCATCCACCCATCCATCCATTCATCCATCCATCCATCCATCCATCCATCCATCCATCCATCCATCCATCCATCCCCTGGTTCTATTTCTTGGGGTTTGAAGTCTTTCATATACATCAGGCTAAGTTTCAGCCTAGCTTCACTTCTTTTGCCCAAGGAAAAGAAGGGCAAGGGACTGTGAGTTGGCCTCAGGCTATCACTTCCCAAGTGACCCATAGGAACCTGGTGTGCAGGAAGTAGGCAGAAGGCAGTCCTGTTCAGGAAGGAAAAGGAGAGAAAAGGCATGTTTGAAGAGAATTTGTCAGAACTAAAATCACCTTTGAATTTAGGGACTTAGATTGCCAGTTTGGAAAATATAAAAAAAAAAATGGTGGATTTGCACCTTTAATGTGATAAATGTCACTCTGTGTTTTTATGAAGTTGCAATTACTCTTCACCATTATCACTTACTCATACTTCCAATAAGGATTTGGTCATATCACCTGCCTTTTGAAACTCTTCTTTCTATTTCTCTTTCCAATGTTAAGACACCTGGTCATGTTTAATGCAATTTTTATGATTTCATTTTTTACTAACCAAACAAGTATTTTATAACATTCTTGGCTTATGATCACTTTAATACAATATACAATTTTTATGGATTTTCACATAATATTAATCAGTAATTAAACATTTAGAGATCTATGAGTGTCATATGACTTTATGATGTTATAATTAAAATAAATCATTTAAGGAGAAATGCAGCAAATTCAATTCTAAAATAATATAGGAGTATCTATATATCACAAACTGGTACTTATAATGCTCCTGAGTGTTCATCTAAATGGAGTGATCAAAATTGCAAGTGTATTTTTGAACACATTTTCTATTTCTACATTGTTTAACCACTGTTTTGCCGGCTACTGCAGTGACTCTACAATTAGTCATTTCCTACACAATAAAAGCTCCTGTATTTTAGGAACTTCAGAAATCCACAGAAACAGGTATTATTATGGCATTAAAGGTTGTGGAATGTAAAGGCAAAGTAAGTACTCTATCAACAGTTTTTGATTTTAAATTCTTTCACTGTGTATTTGGTTTCTAGCTTAATAGGCTGCTCAGTTAAATGGTCTTGGTTTTGTGTATTTATGGGTCTTTGAGGACAAAATGCAGGGGTTCCTCTGTGTTAAAAACTGAGAGCACCTCAAATGCAAAATTGAAGTGTAGAGACTGTAAGCAAGTGCTTAGTAATACTCATAATGAAAATTTAGTTCATTTGCTGCAAGTGTAGACTGATCAAATAATACGATTCCACTCCCTTAGAAAAGACAAGAAACTAACATGTCAGCTTTGGAAAAACTCATTCTGTGGCTTGACTGATGTTTTTTTTTTTAAATTAGCAGAGATAAGTGGGTCAAAGAAAACTCTGCACCTGCTTCAGGTTCAGACTTCTTATTCAGCTTATCAAGGTCCACTAGGAGTTAATGGAATATTCAGAAAAGGTCAGAAGGGATCTAGTTCTACTTTCTTAGAAATGTCTTATGCTCTTTCATTCATGTCCAAAGGCCAACAACTATCCTCACACATATAGAAGAATTAAAACTTTTAGTTTTTATTTAGCTTCAAATTCTATATGAAGGCAAACTAATCACCAAGAGGAAGAGGATACCATAATAAATATTTCTCCAAGGAAAGCATGGAAATAGATTTTTAAAACTACACAAAATGCCTTTTTGGCACGCTGTTTAAGACATAATTTAAACACTAAGTAGAAAAAAATCAATAATATTAAAGATGATACATGCTCATCTGATCCACTGAGCAAGCTATATATTGTTGGTGACTTTTAATACTTTACAAAATGAAGGTCAGTATTTAGACACAGAGGCCTGTAATAACTACTACATCTCTCACAACAGTCTGCTGTTGTTGGGTAAGTTTTAGCTATTGTAACAGTGAAAATCACAAATTTATAAAAGACCTTCAGCGCATGGTAGAAAATACTCAAAACCTTATGTCAATGTGTATAATTTGCTATATTCCATAGAAAACTTGTGAGTGAATGTACGATAGAAGAAAGATGAAAGGAACAAGGAAATTGGAGAAAAAAGATAAAACGAAAGAAAACTTAAAATGTTTCTGCAAAATGTAGCACTTAATTTTGAACACTTTTTTTAAAATAACTTTTCTCCTAGTGTTTACATGCATATAGGATTGATACTGTGTACTTAGAAGCTTACCTCTGTAAGACAGTAAAAGATTTTAATACATTGCAAAAATGATCTCTGTTATTAAATCTTGTCAATCACTATTGTGCAGGAATAAAGTAAAACTAAAATAGAAATGCTCCTTTTATTCACTTTAGACTAACTCTCCTGGTCTTAAAGTAAAGCCTTACAGCCCATAAATTCCATAATGTATTAATGTCCTTTAGGGAACTGAGAGTCTCAGGGGTTGGGCAAAGTCTAGTACAAATTTAC